GGCATTAACACGCCTGTGCTGCATGGAATGCATTTGCAGATAGGTAGAAGTCCTATCCACAGCACTAAGATATACTGAAGGGAACTGAAGATACATCGTTTATTCCTAGGAAGAGATCAGATGTCTTCATATGTGCAAGATTGTCTAAATGGGACAGAAGCATGCAAGCTATTCTTGGATACATCTTTGTAGAAAGGAGTATGAATCCAATAAATAAATAAATAAATAAATTCTTTTTTTTTTGAGCCACCGAAGGGAATTTTTTATTATTTTTATAAATCTACAGTACTACAGAAAATAATAAGGGTGGGGTACTACATATATGGGAGAAAGGAAAGAAACCAACTATACCTAAAAACCCAAGAGAGGAGATCCTCAATAAAGCTTAGTTACATTAAGTCATAACTCTTGTAAAACAATATGAAGAGTCAAGTTTTTCACACATTTTCACTTTAGCAAATTTAGCTGTTCAGAAACCATACCCCCCCCCATCACCACATTTATGCATCAGCAACCTCGAGGCACAATACAGAGTCCTTCAGCCTCTATTTCTGTTTTCCTCGTCTCTTCCTCAGCTTATAGGGGCTTTTGGGAGCTGCATCTCCTTGCGCCGTCAGAGAGTCCTCTCTGGAAGATTCCGTCTCTAATTCCCACTCTAACTGTTATTGTCTTCTTTTCCTTCCCCCTCTTCTTTTCCCAGCTGAGTCTTTAAGAATTCTTTGGCTTTAAAGGCAGAGTCAATTCTTTATTTTTTGTCTTTCATCTTGAAAGCCACTCCTTCCGGAAATAACCATTTGTATCCAATTGAGTTTGTCTGAAGATAAGTCACCAGCTCTTTGTACTTCCTTCTCCGTTGTCTTACGTCAAATGGAATATCCTTCAGCACTCTAATCTTGGTTTCCCCCATTTTCAGGGGTGTTCCAGAAACTGCTTTTAGGATTGCATCCCTTATGTGCCTCTTCGAGAATCTCACAACAATCTCCCCAGGCAGATTATTCTTTTTTATATATCCTGAATATGATCTATAGACCACATCCATTTCACTTAGTAGCAGTTCTGCCGTCATTTCTGTCGCTGGGGCCAACAATTCACTCATAAGCTCTTTAGGATTCTCTCCCGATTTTTCCGGCACACCCTGGAAGCGAAGGACCATGTTGGCCTTATCCATTTGCACCTGCAGCCATTTATCTTCCATTGAAGTTTGCTTTAACTCCAACTTTTGGACTTTCTTCTTTACTTTTTCCGTTGTTGTAGCCACCTCTTTGATTTTCTCACTGTCTTGCTTCATTATCTGTATCATATCATTCATCTGGGTCTGCTGTGCTGTCAACTGGTTTTGCTGCACTGTCAGATTTTTGGTTACTTCCGACATTTGTTCTTTGATGTTATTCAACTGCTCCAGCAGAGGGCGCATACATTCTGCTATAGTCTTTGCTAGCTCATTCGTCACTTCCGTTTTAGGGCTCTCCAGTCCTTTTACTTTCGGAATCAGCTTGTCTTTGTCCCTCTTGCCCGCCATCTTTGCCGTTTGTTTACTCTTTGTAAAAGTTTCTAAAAAGTCTCTGCAATGTGCTCATTCACTTCTCTACATTGGTGAGTACATCTGAACAGCTTACTCCGCGTCTCTGCTTGCTCCCTCCCCTTTTCGTTTAAAGGTCCATGCGCATGGGAGGCGTCCCCCCCGCTCGCTTTTCCCGTTCTGCTAGATGGGGTGAGGAGCGTCTTTTCTTTTAAAATTAATTTCTCGGTTGACTCACGTTCATAGCTGGTTGTCCGACCACTCTTCTTTCATCGTTTTAAATGCTTGATCTCCTGTGCTTGACCTGGTTAGCTTCACTAGTGCTTAATCAGCCTCTCAGCTCGAAGAACCACTGGAGCGGAGGGGAGCCTCGATTCTCTGGCATTCTGCCATCGAAGAGGTTACCCCTCAAAGCTCCTTGGCCAGGACACCTTCGCCGGTATCCTGGGGGGGTTAACGAGCCTGCTCGCCCCCTTCTTCGGCCAGAGCGCGGCTACCCCCCCCGGGAGGTCCGGGAGGAGTGTCTGCAGTCGTGGAGCCATCGACCGGAAGTCTCAATAAATAAATAAATTCTAATCTGTCTGATTTTATAGCATACTTTTAACAATGTCTGTCATCTAATCAACCGAAGTGTTATCAAAACAAATTGACTACGCTAAGGAGTTCACGCTCAGCTGCTGCTAGCCAGATAGCAGTTTATCAGAGGCAGTGAGAGAGAACAAGCAGGTGACCAGTAAGATAAAACAAGTTTGTTGGAGAGGGTGGGGAGCGAAAGGCAAGGCAAATCTGCCTTCCTTAACAACAAAGCTAGAGGTAAATAATGAGAACATGTGATTTTTGATTATTTTATTTGCTATGTCTACACACATATGTTTGTATGTTTGAAAAGTAAATAATCCTTATTTCCTACTTGTGTCACCTGGGAAAATATGAGCGGATGGTGGGAGGTGAGTGCCCATCATTATTTTGGGTTGTTCAATATGGAGGGAGTTGTTCCTTACAAAATGTCCTGTTCAGTGAATATAGGAGACACTTGTTGTGATTTGTTGCAAAGCATCATCAAAATACATAGGTAAACACTTAGGCCTTTCTCTTCCTTTCGTCCAGTCCTAGACCTGCAGGCTGTGTTTCCAGGCGGCATTTGACTGCAGTCACAGGACTTGGTGTAAGTGATCCACTGAAGTGATAAGGGTTGGTGATGTCTGAGGTGTCGATGGTTAGCAAGTCTGGTGGTATTTCAGTCATGGGATGCAGTATTTCCTGTTTGTTGAGGTTTGTAACTGTGTTTCTGGGCACTTAGTTTGCAGCAGCAGCTGGGGCTATATTTCCTGTACATGTGCAGTGCATTGGAGCCAAAACAGATGTGATTCTGGATGTTCTGCAAATGGAGCTCCTAGAGTGTTCTCTTTCTCTCTCTTTCTCTGTCTCTCCCTCCCTCTCTCCCTCCGTCTCCCCCCTTTTCCTGTGCAGCCCACGTTGTCTTTTTCTCTGTGATTGAGGAGATGTTGAATGGGAAAGGTATGCAGAAAAGGCAGCCAAAGGCTATTACAGTGTTTAGAGAGCTACTTTTCAGGCTCAAAAACACTTGTGCTGAAAGTTGACATCAGCAACCAAAGTTCTTAAAAGTGTAGCATAGCTAATTGTTTTGCCTTATGAGGCACTAAAACGTTAAAAAAGCTAGCATCTGTTCCCAATGTTAAATGAAAAAAACCTCATCTGGCAACCGGTCAGAAGGGAGAAAAACCAGTAATGCCAGTGGAGAAATGTCCAGTTGACAACCCACCTGTTTTTGAATCTTTACTTGGGCTTGGTTCTTGCAAACAGTGGATGAAGTGGTAAACCTGTGTCTACAGTATTGTCAGGGGGTAGGGCAGGGCAGAACCAGACTCTAGCCATGCCCCCTAAAGACAGGGAAGATGTGCCTGCCATGGAAAATGGGCCTTTTAAAGCAACTCACAACTGAGCAGTGTGACACTAGGCACCTTAGGAATCCCTCATCAGCTAACCACTTGTTTGACAATAGTCTGTTGGAAAGCAGAGGGAACTGGGTCACGTCCAGGAAGCAGGTACTTTTCTACAGTGCTGTGTTCATAAGGGGGGGAAAGAAGGCTGAGGAGGCTTTGGCTTCAGACTCTGCACTAGTAGAGTCAGGGAAGAGGAAAAGCCAGAATTCCTACTCTTAGTCCTTTTTCATCAGAGGCCCAAGGTGCAGGGAATGGAGGTTTATTAATCTCCGGTTAGGGATTGAAGTTCTTCTGGAATTTCAGTTGATTTCCAGACTACAGATATCAGTTTCCTTGAAGGAAATGGCAGCTTCCTTGGACTAACTGTATGGCAACACATCTTCAGTGAGCTCTTTAGCATTGCCAGCTGAGCACTGGCAACCAGAAGGAGACACTGAGGGGTGGGGACAACAAAATAGGTGTTGCTCCAGTGATCACTTCCTATGTATACTGCAGCAGGTTGATGTTTTAAGATTCACCCCAAAAATCTGTGGGTTTGCTAGGAAGTTGAATAATAGACTGCTTCATAGAGCTGTTTTAACTTATCATGGTGTTAAGTAAATGCAAAATCTATACACATGGCTCCAGATTTTGAATCTAAGCAAGAAAGCATCCTTCCAACAAAGTATTATTTTATATATTTGGACTCAAGCAGTGTCTCTACTGCTAGGAATGTTGGTAAAACCAAATACGACAGGGGTCCCCAGCCTTTTCACACCTGTGGGCACCTCTGGAATTCTGACACAAGGCGGTGGTTGCAACTACAAAATGGATGCTGCAGGAGGTAGAGCCAACACAGAATGTCAGAGAGCAAGGTTATGCATCAGTCTAATAGCACTTCAGCATTTCAGGCACAAGCTCTATTTAACAGGATGCCTTTTAACCTGAATACATACAGTGAAGAATCCTTGTGCTGTGGTGGCAGCTGTTGCTGAAGCAGCTCTTTACAAATCTGCACAACCAGATTTCCAGTGGCCAATCAGAAGCCCTGCTGGGCAAAAGCCCCACCTGGCCCTGCCCACTTTCGAAAAACAGTGGGTGAACACCAGGGAACCCGTTGGCAGGTGCCATGGAACCCACAGGGCCCACTTTGGGGACCCCTGCAATAATCCCATTATGTCAAAACGCAGTAGGTTTCCATACTGCAGAAATGTTGATTTCTGATCCCCACATAGTTGAGAATTGTTGTGTCAATTTATGTATGACATAATAGAAATTTAATTAAATTGTAGACAATATCCTAAATTATTTGCTTTTACAATGTGTATTGTTGATCCTTTTAGATCTAACATATTCCACTCTTTATAGCCTTATCTCAGTATTAATAGGAGATTGACATAGAGCAGAGATAAATATTGCACAGGTGTGAACTACAATAGACAGCTGGGCTAGCTATTATATATTTTTCTTTGTAGGTCTAAATCTTTGTCACCGAAACACTGTTTAACAAGGTGAAACCCAAACATCTTATGTTTCAGGGAGCTTCTGGATATGACCTGCCGTCTTGCTAATACCTTGAAGAAAAATGGTATAAAAAAGGGGGACCGAGTTGCCATCTATATGTCTGTGTCTCCACTAGCAGTGGCTGCTATGTTGGCTTGTGCAAGAATTGGTGCTGTTCATACGGTAGTTTTTGCTGGATTCAGTGGAGAATCCTTAGCAGGAAGGATCAAAGACTGTAAGTAATTTTCACAATGCTGGGAAGGATCATCAATACTTCTAGTATGACTTCTTTCCATGGTGTGCAGCAAATAAACCTTCTTCACAGAAAGTTACTGACACACCTATAGTATATTTTCTTAGGGGTATATGCCACACTCCAACAGCTCTGTGTGCTGAGTTTTCCAGGCATACACTATGCATTTCTGTTAAGTATGTGGACTGTTCATCGTGGGTCGCAGTGCCTCCAGGCTCACCTGGAGGGCAGAGGGTTGCGGCAGGCTTGGCAAGGGTCATGACTCCATCCTCAGAAAAGCAGCACACTAGGCACAAATGCAGCTCCAAGCAATGCTTTATTGTTGCCTCAGGGCTGTAGTTACATTCACCCAGCCTCCACTACAAGGTGACAATACACTTTTCCTCTACCAGCCACCCTCATGAGTACAGTCTTATAGCTTTTAAGGCTTTTAAGTTGGCCCTTCCCCCAGAGCCTCGTTCCCACTCACCTTCCAACCTCGTCAGTCCCTCTCATGCCAAAGGGCATGCCTTCTCTACCCAGGGCTGCTGACACTGTGATCCAGCCATGCCCTGCTGAATGCATGTTGGGCCAGACCCTCCTGACAGGGATCTCCCATGCCCATGACCCTGAGCTGCACCACTCGAGGTTGATGTTGAAGGCATAGCCCAGCCACTGCCCCCACAGTCCTAGGCCCACTGGTCCTCCTGTTGCACTGTTCTTCAACATGGACAAATATTTGTTAGACTCAGTGTATACTGGAGTCCTACAAAGCTACAAGTCATGTTAATGGGCTGTGAGCCAGTGAATCCTGTTCATAGTTTTCCCTCACCAGTATAGTTGTCTGGTCTTTCCTCATGCAGTATAGTCCTATTTCTGAAATACAGCGCATATATCTCTTTTCATGTGATGATATTTACATACTTATGCACAACCAGAGAATTTTAATTTTGAGCAATTATGCAAGAGAATTAATGGATTAATATTAATTAATGGTCACGAATACTCACGTAATAATTTAAGTGTCATAATGGTTCCATAACGATTTGGCAGAGTGGCATGATATAATCTTGGATGCATGGAAGTGGAAGAGTCAGCAATAGAGATGTTCTGAATTTTGCAGTAAACCTGTTCAGCAGCACTGTGTTGGACACAATCAGACTGTGAGCCAATCAAGGATATGGGGCAACCTGAAACAACTGCTGAACAGTTCTGCAGCTGCCTGTTGGTCAGAAGCTAATTCACAGCTGATCAGAGGATCACCTAGGAGTTGGGATCTGACATCCCAGCATTTCCCCAGTATCTTTGTTGTACTGGGACACAGCAAAGCTTGGGGTGGTGGGGCTGAGAAGCTGCTTACAGTTTATGGGGAATCAGCTGGAAATCAGCTGCTGATCCCCCCCCTCAACAAATTGCTACAGAAACTGGAAATATGAAGTGATCAGCTTTTGATTTCCTATTGCAAATGGAGAAGAGAAAGATATTGTTTCTCTCCTTTTCTCTGCTGCCCAAGCTGACAGCCTGGTGTAGGAAGAAGGGGAATCAGCTGGGCTTCTGGACACTTGCCCTCCCCAAAAGTTGATGCATCTAAGCAAATCTAGAACATAGCAAAGTTTTCAGGGTGGGAGATCAGAAGAACCTGACTTCCCACTGATCCCTCTAATCAGCTTTGAGTTGGCTCTTGATTCCCCCACCCTTTAAAGAGGAGATCAGAAGCCCATTGTCAGCTGATTCCCATCTGGGAGTCAGCTTCTGAAGGCTGCAAATAGCCTTTTCCTGCAAATCGGTGTGAACAGGCTGTGAACAGCCTGCTCATTAATTGGCTGCTGGTTTGCCACTTGTGAACAGGGCGTGAATTGTACTGGGAGGTGTCCGAGCATCCCCTGCCAGCATAGAAAATGTGATTAGGCTCATGTCCAAAAATACATGCATTTGTAAAACAGTGAGGTCATGGCCTCCTTAGGTGATACTATTTTCACAGAGAAATGATCTTGTTAAAAGTGACATCAGAATTTCACAGAGAAATGATCTTGCTAAAAGTGACATCAGAATGCCTCTCAGTCATGCACTTTATTCCTTCTCTTTCCCATAATAAAGCAAGAAGGTCTGGTACATATGTTTATTTGCACAGATAAATAGATAGCTAGATGGACCTGATGCACAGATGGCTGGGAGAAAGGCAAATGTATAAATAAATACAGCCCAGTATTTGACATAGATTTTAGGAGTTGTAAAATGTGACATATTATTGCTAATTACATTGCTAATTACAGAGAGAAACAATATTCTAATACTATATATAATTTCCATTGCTAGCTGAATGCAAAGCAGTTATCACCTATAACCAGGGACTCAGAGGAGGACGGATTATAGAGCTGAAGAAGACTGTGGATGAAGCTGTAAAGAACTGTCCAAGTGTCAAGTGTGTCTTTGTGGCTCAGAGAACAACCAACAAAATCCACTTGGGGAGTCATGATATCCCCCTTGAAGAAGTATGTTGATGATGTTCAGTGTACCTCTTTTAACCAGGTACTCCCATAGGGCATGGCACTTTTATCTCAGTAAGTTTCATAATGGGTATGATAGATGAGCTGAAACATGGGGATGGATTTTTCAAGTTAGGCAGGTACAGGGAGCACCTTCTCATCCTCCTAGTTACAAACACAACTAGAAGTGCAGGCCGTGTCCCAGAAAGAAGCAGTGACCTTTTCACCAGAATGCTTCTATGTTTTGTTGCAGCAACCCAATTTAGCACATTGTACAGGTGTACTAGTACCATAGTGATCATTGGCTTTGTAGCCTGTTGAAGGACCAGCAGTCTTATTTGCATAGACTATCTGCCCTTTCTCAGGTCAGAGTGCTTTAGCCTCAGATGACCCTATGAGGTGGCTGAGGGAGACTTGCTCAAGACAAGTCTGCTTGATAGCTAAACAGATTTAAATCTTTGCTTCCCATATCCAAATCCAATAATTTAGTCAGTTCATCACGGTTGTGAACCAGTGTTATGTTGGTCTCCTAAATTAGAGCTGTCTGGTGTGTCTGTAACTTTCCAATTCGTCTAAAAAGCAGCTGTGTAAATTTTAAAGTGACCGGTAGTATAATATTGTTTCAAATTACTATTTTGATTTGATTTTTTTTAAAAAACAAACCTTCTTCCTCCTGTCTTGGTGCCACTGTTGCCATCTAGCAAAAGACTGCAAAATGCAGCTAATAAATCTTGCTTGTTTTCATTGATTTCTCCTTCTAGAGCTGTTGAAGGATTCATCTCCCTGTTTGTTTCTCTTAAGCATTTATGTAAAATAGATTTATATTTTACCGAATTGTACTTCTATGATATCTAGGAAACTGACAGACCACAAGACACAGCCAGTACACATAACGTTTAAATGCACGGTAGGTCATTTGTTCTCCGTACTGCCTGACCACCTGGATTCCCATATGTTCACAACAACATGGTCCTAATGAACATACTGTGAGGAGCATTACAAATTCAGCGCACTACTAAAAACAAGCAAAAGTGAGTGAGCAATGGCAGTATTTGCTGACAGTGGGGTACAGCTGGTGAATATACTTGTGAATTTACTAGAAACTGGGTGACCAGTTTGGACAGAAAGGACAAGTGCCCCCAGATTCCTTTACAAGATTTGAGAGTCCATGCTTTCTCCATGACATGTAGTTCTGCACCTGGAGTATTCAGCCTAGGCCTTCATGTGCCATCCTGAGAGGCCTGAGGGAGGGAAGTCTGCAGGTCTCATATGTAGCGTTTTGCATAAGAACTGCTGTATTTATTCCTAAAACTATTTTTTGCTCCCATTCTTCAATAAGAACGAAATAAAATGAGTTTGCAGGTGAAGTGAACAAAAGGAGCACTAGTTATGGATCACTGGTTTCTCCTTAAAAAAACGTTATACCAGATATCAGCAGTGTTTGAGTGGGAGTGGGGTGAGGTGGGGATTCTGCATTGTCATGTAGCGGCCCATGCTTCTCTAATCAGATCTGACTTGCTGTCATGCTCACAGAAATTTCTGATTTTTTAAAATATTAATTCCAACAATTTATAGTGCAATACTAAACAGAGTTACATGCTTCTAAATCCATTGACTTCAGTAGATTTAGAAGGCTGTAACTGCCTAGGATTGCACTGCTAGCCTTTTATAATCCTGAGGTGAGGAGTCATTTATTATTGCTTTTAAATTAATTATCTAGTTCCTTTTAGCTTCTTTTCTAGCACTTTGTGATACCTGGCATTTAAAGGTAAACTTTTACATTTTAAAATACGGTTTTGATCCGTCTAGGAAAGTTCATATTTCTTGTCACTATGGTATTTTGTTCTTGCTGAGATTTTAGATACGTTTACAAGTATGTGCCTGGTTTCTAGTTTTACATTCTAGGTTTCTGAGATTAAAAGATAAGAAGCAAGCATAATACAGCGTGAGAGAGCTGTGTTTGCCCACCAGCATTGAAGACTGCATTAGACAGACTTCATGGCCTGTAGTAAAACAAGATACTACATCTTACACTGGTTGGGATACGGGTGCCTGTCCTGACTTGCTGTCATGCAACCTTAACAGTGTTCCATTGCTCCATTCTCAGAAGCAAACGGTCCTTCCCTGCAGGGCTGTTTCTGCTGGTGAAAATGCTGCAGGAGGGAAGCCAGAAGCCCCCCCCCCCCTCACAGTGCTCCAAACCTGAATGGAGTGCTGTTGAGGTAAGAGACCATATTCTTTTGCGTGACAGCGACAGACACCCATGTCCTGACCCACATAAGATGTAATGTCTAGTTTAAGTGTAAAGCTTGACCTGTAGGTGTTTGATAAAGTGGAGGTTGGATGTGCTTTGCACATCTGAATTCCTAAGACACCTCCATGTAAGCTTGCCCTAAAGCTGAAAACTATGAACCATTTTCTTGGAGAGGTAGCACTGGTAAACTGCTTCCTATCAAGCCAGCTGTGAATGTTCCTTTATCTGTTGTGGATAAAAAAAAATGCCCGTTATCTGAAGGGTCATGGAAACATTTGTCATACCTCACAGCAAATATGGCTACGGAGACTGCAAATGAATGTGTTCTGAACAGAAGCAAACATTTATAGATGTTAACACCTGTGTTTCACTTAAATAAAAGAAGGACAGGTGGTGTCTGTTTTTCAGAGCCTGAAGATTGTTTGTTTTTCCTTCATAGTTGGGTTACATAATGCTGCCCTTTTTCTTTACTTGGTCTTGTTCCTTTGAGTAAATTAAAGCAAATGGAGTATTATCCTAGGCTTGGGTTGAAACCCTTTTATGGGACACTTCTTATGAAATTACAAGTAATTGCTCTGAGCTTTGGTATGAGATGGGTTTGGCCACTTCCCCCTCCAACACCAGTGCAGCCGGTCAAGTCCCAGTAAACCACAGGCATATCTGGGACCAAGCCCAACACTTGTAGCAATTTCCATCCAGCACGTTTATGGCCCTTGGATGGAAACTGCCAACATGACTGAGCCAGCTCGTGACAGCAGCAGTGGTAGCTGTAGCACAGCCTGTGGTTTAGCTGGGTCTGAGGAAACCAGGAGCCATCAGCAGAGTAGCACAGCATAGTAGGTTTGTTTTTACCACTATATTGGCACCATAAATGAAACTGTAACTCCAAAGCAAGACATTGCTTTAATTCTGAGGCAATTACAAATGGGGGAAAGTACTTTTTATATTCCTTTTCTTTTTTCTTTTTAGGAGATGGCTAAGGAGTCTTCAGTTTGCCCACCTGAAATCATGGACAGTGAAGACATGCTTTTTATGCTTTATACCTCAGGGAGCACAGGGAAGCCTAAAGGGGTTGTTCACACCCAGGCTGGCTATCTGCTTTATGCTGCCTTAACACACAAGGTACCTGTGTAGTCATATCTGCAAGGAAAGAACAATGGGTATTTTATGGGTATAGTTGTGGGGGGAAACAGTAAAAAGTGTTGTATTAGTCATCTTTGAAAGTTCTCATGTAAGACGTAAAAAGTTCTTTGACTCTTATGCACAAGGCTTAACATCACACATACGTCAACGCCAGGTTTAAGGTCCACAGAGGCCCAAGCCAAAACTCTCACAATGGTGTTTTATGATTGAAAATGATTATAAAATGCAAGAACATCCTTATTTTGCTTTGTTCTTGTACTGTTCTGAAAGGCAGCTGAGATTCTGGCATGAGCTGTGCTTTGGAAGAGAACCAGGGAGGGAGGGGGAGAGAGGGGGATGAAGGAAGTACAAGTTATATATGTTCTAAACTTTATTTTGTGTGTTTGACTTTGGGTAAGATTATGGGGACAGAGTCTATCCCTCCAAGTCACCACACTGTATAAAACTGATTGCTGTTTAAGAGGTTAGTCATTTGCTATAATTGCTTGCTATAACCACTTAGCTCTCCTGAATTTCTTTTATGCATCCCATTTAAAGGGGGGGGGGATAATTGAGTCGTATATGCTTTTGGTATATGCTATGTGATGATCATGGAGCTGCGGTGGCTCAAGTGGTTAAGACGCTGAACTCTGCAGGCTGTGGAAGGTCAGTAGTTCAGCAGTTCAAGACCCGGGTGCCGCGAGACGGAGTGAGCTCCCGTCTCTAGTTCCAGCTCCTGCCAACCTAGCAGTTCGAAAGCAAGAAATTGCAAGTAGATAAATAGGTACCACTTTGGTGGGAAGGTAACAGCGTTCCGCGCGCCTTGGTGTTTAGTCATGCCGGCCACATGACCACGGAAACGTCTTTGGACAGCGCTGGCTCTTCGGCTTTGAAACGGAGATGAGCACCGCAACCCTAGAGTCGGATTCGACTGGCTTTCGAGCAAGGGAAGCTTTACCTTTACCTTTATGTGATGATCTGATAAGACCCCAGTGATTTGAAGGCTTCACCAGGCTGTCAGTCAGGTACCCTGGAAATAAAGATTTAAGTCTTGAATAGAAAAATAATTATTTTAAAGAACTGCAGATCAAATGTACATGCCACACGGTCCCTCAGTAAACTATTGTAACCCAGGTGAATCTCTAATGGTCACTCTCCCTCATCAAATTAAAAAGGCCAGATCTCCCTGCTCTTCTACTCCAGCCAGTACTTCACAGGCTTACTAAGGGATTTGGCCTGAGAGCTTCCTGTTGATGCTGATGGAGGACTGCCTCAGACTCCCTCACAGTCTTCCTTCTGATCCAGGTTTGACAGCTCTGGAGGTTTTGGGAGTGGAGGCTGAGGAGGGCATGGTTTAGGGAGGCGCCTCAACAGGGTATAATGCCATAGAGCCCACCCTCCAAAGCTGCCTTTTCCCCAAGATAATTGATCACTGTAGTTTGAAGAATATCTCCAGGCCCCACCAGGAGGTTGGCACCTGGAGCCCTTCTTCCCATCCGTTCACACAGTCACACAGGTGCAGCTTGAACTCTTCTAGCCTCTTCCTGGGCTATTTATGCTTTTTCTCATTCTTTTTAATAGCGACTCCTCCTTGCCTACAGCCTCTCACTCACCCAGCTCTTCAAAGTCCTCCACTAGTAGCTTTACTTCTTCCTCCTTCTGAAGGTCATCTGCCTCCCAACTGTCTTCCAGCTGCTTCTCTGGTGCCTCGAATGCCAACCTCCATCTGGGACCTGGAGATCTGGAATTACAGCTCCAGATTGTAGAGATCAATTTCCTTGGAGAAAAGGACTGATTTTGACGGTGGACTCTATGACATTTTACCAGGCTGCACCCCCAAATCTCCAGGAATTTCCTAAACCAGATTCTACAACCCTAGCTGCCTCTATCACCTGTCTCTTATACAGCTCTCAGGAAAGTTTAGTCCAATCCACTGCTGACACTTGGTCCAACCTTATTCTGATTGAATTCCTCCTAAGTTGAAAACCTATTGTGATGAGTTTGAAAACTCTCCTTAGTGGCCTTTTAACCTCACCATAGCAACAGTCACTTGCTTCACCAACTGGAAATGCATTGTACCACTTGGAAACCCTCCTGCTGTCCCCTTACAGCACTTCTGTACATGAGCGAAACAAAACGGTAACATATATTCTGAAATTATTACAAATAGTGTTTGATCTCCTTGTTAGGAAATTTGTTTCTCCATATTCTAGAACTCCTGTAGTGGGCAGGAGTTGGACTGCACACCTTTTGTCAATGCTACAGTAAAATGTTTAAATTGCAAACTCATCAGCTGTATACCTGTAGGGGGGTAGTGTTTTGTAATTTTCTTCCCAATAAATAACTTTCTGCTTAGGAACAGATTTGAGACCAGTAGCACCTTAGAGAGCAACAAGATTTTCGGGATATCAGCTTTTGAGAGTACAAGCTACCTTCATCAGATGGTATCTGCTTATACCCGTTGCTCTCTAAGGTGCTACTGGACTCAGATCTAGCTGTTGTACTGCAGACCAACAAGGCTACCCTCTGGAACTATCTTTCTGCTTAGGTTTCCCCCTTCGTCTGCACTTGTTGTGCATGGTGGCAGAAGATAGGTAATTTAGCTACTAAACTTTTTTCTTTTATTCTTGTCCTGGTAGCCTTAGTGTCCTTCTAAACTATAGTAAAAAGGTAAAGGTTTCCCTTGCTCGAAAGCCCAATTAAGGGCCTCAATTCAGTGAATAGTTTAGATGACATTAAAAAGGAGAATGGGCCTGACTCAGTGTGGCCCGAATTTTACCTTGGGGGGGGGGGAGCTAGCCAGAGGTTGGGTGGGGATGGGTGGCTGAGCGGCGGGACAACCAGGACTTCCCCCTTGCCCCCTGGGACCAATAGCAAGGCAACAAGGTAGCTGGGGGAGGGCCGGCGCAGGGGGAATAGGCCAGCCACTTGCCACCCACAGTTCAAACCTCCTGACCTGGACAGCCCGGGCTAGCTTGATCTTTTCAGGGCTAGGAAGGTAAGCACAGTCAGCTCTGGTTAGTACTTGGATGGGAGACCACCCAGGAAGTCTAAGGTCACTACTCAGAGGCGGGTGATGGCATGCCACCTCTGAACCTCTTTTTTCTTGAAAACCCGGCAGGGTTGCTATAAGTTGGCTGTGACTTGATGGCAGTGAAATATAGCCTCTGTGCTTGTGTGCTTGTGTTGTCAGTGTCTCAAGCAGGGAAAGTGCCTCTCTTAATTCCCTTCCCCATGATAAAGACACAGGAACCTTTGTTGATTTTAAACAGGTTGCTGCTGTGTGTATTGCATATGTGTTGGCTGTCTGTGGCTAATCAGGCTGAAAAGGACACTGGCTGTATTAATGACTGCCTTTATTCATTTTTGAAAAACAAACATATGAGACAATTAGATCCTGAGCTTTTTCAAATTTTGTAATATTTTTGACTCTCTGTTGGCAACAGGCCATTGCTCTAATCCAGGAAGGGAAAGCTGTATGACTTTTTCAGCCCTGCTGTCAAGGTGAAGCCAACTTATACCAACCCTGTAGGGTTTTCAAAGCAAGAGAAGTTCAGAGTTGGTTTGCCATGGCCTGTCTCTGCATAGCAACTCTGGACTTCCTTGGTGGGTATCCCACCCAAATACTGACCAGGGTGGACCCTGCATAGCTTCTGAGATCTGATGAGGTCGGGTGAGCCTGGGCTAACCAAGTCAAGGCTAAGGCTACATGTACAACTGATTTGTTTATTTATTTATTAAAACATTTCTATCCTGCCTTTCCTTGTAGTTCAAGGCATCTTACAATCATAGTTAAAAACATATTCCATTTAAAATAATAAAATAATAATAATAATAATAATAATAATAATAAACCCCAAATATCTCTCCCCTCCCCATCTTAAAATATGCTTGCCAATTCACACTCCCTCGAAAGCCCTAGCAAACAGTCAGGACTTGCAGTGCCTCCTGAACATCTACAAGGAGGGTTCCCCTCACCCATTCCGCATGATGAAAAAGGCCCAGACTGTGGTCAGTGCCACACAGGCTACCCTAAGTGGTGGTATAGCCAACAGATGGCTGCCTGATGACTATAGTTGACACACAGGGGCATATGGAAGGAGGCAGCTATTCAAATGCAGATGTGTACCAGAATCTCAGATTCTGAGTACTAAAACTACACCAGACACCAGATTCTGTACTTGCAGAGTGAACCTGCGAAGCTGATCCTAGAATTGTGGGTTAGGGTGCTGCCTTAGAAGTTTCACTGTGACAGCAGGCGGAGATGCTGGTGCAAATATGCCAGTCTCACAAAAAGAAGAAGAAGCTTAATTAGACAGATATAAGTACAAGTGAAGTAGTTTATGTGGATGGCTGCATACATACACGAGTCAGACCTTTGGTGTGTCAAGGTCAGTCTTGTCTCTAGGGTCTTTCTGCTACCTGATCCTTTTAAGTGGAGATGCTGGGGCTGATACCGGGAATGTGCATGCAAAGCAGATGCTGTGACACTTGTAATCTACTACTGAACCGTGTCTCCAATATAGGTTTATTGCTATGTTGGAGGGAAAAAACAGTTATTGAAATTACAGTATTCTGTAGCAGTAATAACTGCCAGCAGAAACCCTGTAACTTGTCTGTGCTTAGTTAGTTGCATAAATATTCCCAACCATGAATTTGCAGGACAGAGAAATTAAATGACTAAAATCTATGGTTGTTCCATTTTTTTCACCACAAGGGGGTGGAATATGTAACTGTCCATTGAAAAAAGTCAGAAACATCTGTCAAAAATGAATAAGTAAACTTACTGCCTTTCTGTTCACCTTTGCAGCATGTATTTGACTACAAGCAAGATGATGTTTTTGGCTGTGTGGCTGATATTGGCTGGATCACAGGACACAGCTATGTGGTATATGGACCCCTCTGCAATGGAGGCACCACGGTTCTGTTTGAAAGCACACCAATTTATCCTGATCCAGGTGACTTCAGAAGAAATTCAGACCTTGCTTTTGTTAACTAGCACTTACAAATGCAAAACCTTTCAGTACCCGGTATATTACTTTGCAGTACTTACAGAACTAGCAATTGACAGTGTGAATCTTAGCATGTTTTGCAGGACAGGGAATCCTGTCAGTACAGTTTGTCTGTAATATATTGCTTTATATGTGGCTCTTCAGTACACATTCTCCATTGTGGCCTGCACCATATGGAATGTATCCAGTAACGGATTTACTGTTTTGCCTTATTCTACCACCGAGTGTTTAGTGATGAGTTGTACCCGACTGCTGCTTCAGCTGAGCAACCCAAAGTGAAATGATGAGCTGGCATGGCAAGCAGAGAAAGCATGTCAAGGTTTGGGTTTGGGGTTGGAGCTTGGTTTCAGTCAGTTCTGTTGTATATGAGTTAACTGTCGTCAATGTTGAATTAAACTGTCAAATTGAAACCTATTCTGATTGATTATGGATATCTGATTTTCATTATTCATCAACATAAATTTATTTGTTTGGTCCTTTTGAAAGCCTAAATAGTTTCAAATGCATTGGCTAGATGGAAGTCTACTATTTCCTCTGGCCCCATCTGTAATTCCTTTTGCCTATAAAAGCAGGTGTTTTGGTGTCAGTTTTACAATGGATCCCTTTGAAGAGCCATCAGCATTATAAAACAATATTCTTATTGTGCATGAAATATTCTAAGCGTGCAATGCTAAAGAGTTCATGTCACAGACTAATTTAAGATTGCTGTTTGGATCTTTGCAGGTCGCTATTGGGAAACTGTACAGAGGTTAAAAATTAATCAGTTTTATTGTGCTCCCACTGCATTGCGATTGCTACTGAAGTATGGAGACGAATATGTGAAGAAGTATGACCGATCTTCTTTAATTACCCTTGGATCAGGTGAGGACAGGAAGTGTAAGCTTGCTACCCCCATTTGAAGTCAGCAACATGAGTTTTGATTTCTTTGAAAACACAATTTCTGAAGGGCTGTGAGTCTGCGTGGAAATACTTGAGATTATGTGGTGTGCAATACTTGTTGTGTTGAGAGAGAGTGAAAAGGATCATATAAGTCATATAACTCAGTGTTAGGACCAGGCTGTGGCTTCGGGTGAACTCACGTGGAACCTTTTCAGGAATGAATGATGCAGTATCTGGAATCTGAGTCTGGAGTGCAGCAGCTGAGAGAGCCTGGTGTCTATTAAGTAGACTAGAATTTTAATAAATAAATACACAAATAACTAGCCAAGGCCTAAGCAGCTGCCTGCCATACCTAGTAGTCAGTAGGCATCTATCTGAAATGGTAGCGCTGGGTCTCTTCTTTTGTAAAGATCTGAAGAGAGCTCTGATAGTTGATTTTTCTGCCTAGTCTTGCACTACTGAAGCAATTAAGGCTCTGGGAGAGGAACATGGGAAACTCTGCTGCTGAGGTTCTTTTTTAATAGTATCCTCATAAGGTTCCTGTCCATGCTTCCTTGAAAGAATCTTTCAAGATTTGCAGTTTTGTCAAGCTACTTGTGTTGTTGAGCACAACTTCCCTAATGTTTCACTTAAATATATCTTCCTGTCATTTCGTCCTGTCACTTCACATCATATTCTTGGTGGTCAGATGGAACAACTGTGACAACAGTTGTCTCTTTCCCACCCACTGCACCCCCCACCTCAATCCCATGCATGTTTACTCAAAAGTAAGCCCCCGAGTGCTCATGAGGCTTACTCCCTAATAAGGCCTGGTTCACACCTGCAGGAGGTTGGATCCAGGTGGTCAGCCGTATTGTCCAGTGGCACCTTTAAGACCAACCAAGGTTTATTCAAGGTATGAGCTTTTATGTGCAAGGCACACTTTTTCAAATACGTTGGAATGGTTGGTAAGGTTCAAACGTATAGACAGGGACTTAACAGCAAATTAACATGTAACATGATGATGTTTAAGATATGCGAAGTCAGAGCTAAATAACAAGCTAAGGTTATAAGGTCTACAGTTGTAAAGCAATAAACATGTCAAAATAGCAGATAAATGTAGGAGAGTTAGGGTTGCCAGCCTCCAGGTGAAGCCTGAAGACCTTATGGAAGTACAACCAATTTTGCTGGCTACACAGATCAATTTTCCTGGAGAAAATGACAGCTTTAGAGGGTGGACTCTGTGGTGTTATACTTTGCTGAGGTCTCTCCCCAGGCTCCACCCCCAAATTGCCAGGAATTTGTCAACCCAGAATTGGCAATCCTGAGGAAAGTAAAGCAGTAGAATTGACTGCACCATTTCAGACTGCAGATTCCAGCTTTGAACGTTTTTTGTATGAAAAATTCCATTCAAATAGAGTGTTAGAACAACAGGGAGAAATGCTCTATGTCCTTTCTTTGCTTGCTCTGCTGGTTTTGTTTCCAGGGAAGTTTTTTTAAAAAAACACAGGGGTCCCTTCCAAAATACCCTTCACCTTAAGTGTGAAATGGCGCAATCCATTCTCTCACCTCTGTATTCTGCCACTTCACTCTCCTGCTCTTCTTCTTTTAGATTAAGTAAGCTTTGGCTGCGGTCACACGGAGCATTAGGCACGCTAGAGGGATGGAAGATAGGCGGATTTTCCGGGCGCGATCTCACCGCCACATCTGGGAAGTGTCGAGCTCCCATGGTGAACCCGAGGCTTCCCGTGGAAGATGCGCGATAAAAAACTAGTACCTCGGAGGTACTAGTTTCCTGAAACCGCGGGGTAAGGGCGGGCGTCTGATCGCATTTCCGGTGATAGTTCCGGCGCCCGCCCATGTCCCCTCGGAAAAAGGTTTTTTTCCCCCAGAGTCTCCACGGATGTGCACAAGCACCTAAGGGAGCATGCGCGCATTTGAGTTTTCTAAAAAAAACCCAACCCCGTTTGCCTTGCGCCCCGCTTCTTTGCCGCGCGACAGGACTGTGGAGTGATTGGCACCTCCCCCCTACCACGGGACCTCCATCAGTAGGTCTGCTCGAGCAACTGCGTGGTTTTTAGCCCCGGGGCTAACAGCCAAGTTAACAGCCAAGCTAACAGCCCGCATTTTCCTGCCCGTGTGTGACCGGGACCTTTGTTATTTTAGCCATTTATTATATGACTTGCTTTGTATTTACCAAATATTAATATTTTTTGCCAGCAATCAGAATTCTGCCTTTACTGTTTTTGGTTTTTAGTGGGAGAGCCGATAAACCATGAAGCTTGGCAATGGTTCTACGATGTGGTAGGAGATGGACGGTGCTCCCTTGTGGACACTTGGTGGCAAACAGGTAAAAGCATGGCAGCAAGGAACATTCAGGAAAAAAATCATGCAATGTTGCTTCTTGTAGTAACTGCTGGTACCTCAGTCCTAGTCACATTGCTGCTAAAGAGATTAGACATGTGGTGCTGTCTATTGCCCTGTTGAGGGAAACCTGTAAAAAGAATTCACCATTGGTAATTCCTGGGATCAACAGGATTACAATGTTTGTCTAAAATGTGTGCCAAGCAGAGTCTCTGTGGTGTAGATTTCAACCACTTTCATTCCTGTCATTCCTCACAGCTGTCATTCCTCACAACTAAAGTGCTCTGGGTAATGTAGTTCTAAAAGGGGATAGGCCTCTAACAAGAATTCGTTATCAGCCTCTATGATTGCAGTTCTGAGTTCTTTAAGAAAGATGTTCCTTTAAGTAACCACCTCATCTAGTTCCCCTTCCCTTATCCATAATGTCTAGTACAACATATCTAATTTGGTGATGTCACAACATTCTGCATTTTCTTGCTCTTGTTCTGCATCATCAGCTTCCTGCAGTGAGGAAATCTGCCCCTATCAAATGGGCATTTTTGTAACCATGTCAGCAGTTTCTAACAGTGTCTCTATCAGTTTCTGTTTTCTGTATAAATTATGCTGTGTAGTTTGTTGTTAAATCCGTTTCTACTGAGTGCTAATGTATAGTAACTTAATAATGTAGGCAACCTTTATTTATTTTATATGCTTAGATGGTTGTTCTGACTTTTTGTGCAGGCTCCGCCCTGCATGCAGAGGAGATGGGGAGAGAGCCAAGAATGTACTTAGTGCCGTGCCTAACCAACATGCCTGTCCCACAGCCACTGGCTAATCATACAGCAGTGTCACCTCCAACATGCAAAGGATCTGTTTATGTGGTTAAGCTCTTAAATATGGTACAGGAACTGACCATATGAATTGAAACTGTGTATGTTGGATTTGACCATGTTACACCACTGTGCAAACAGCTAGTGGTGTTAAGGACAAGGGCCGGCATGCCTGATAAATGGAGAGTTAAGTGCACTCCTGCTCACATGGAGCTGCCTCATACTGAATCAGACTATTGGTCTATCACGATCAATATTCTGTACTCTGACTGGCAGCCACTCTTTAGGGTCTCAGACTGAGGTCTTCTACTACACCTACTACCTGCTCTTTTTACCTGGAGATGCCAAGGACTGAACCGAGAGTCCTCTGCATGCCAAGAAGATGCTCTGCCACTGAGCCACAGCTCCTCTCCAAATTGCTCTTTCTCATATTATGCACAGCACATAGTGCTGGGTATTGTGCACGGTTTATACACATGTGACTAAAGCCTATGCATGCATATATTTTTGTTTTGCTATTGCTTGTCTTCTGTAGTTTGTTCTTTTGGTAGACACGTACTACTTTTTCCTTATATCCAGCTAATGCTACCATTGTCACATCCTCCTCCCCCACTACCATGCTGGAGGTTTTCAAATGACAGGAGCCAGTTTGTTATAGTGGTTAAGTGTACGGACTCTGATCTGGGAGAACCAGGTTTGATTTTGTAGTGTATTCAAAATGACTTGAATGTATGTATTGGATGTTTGTGAATCATTCCATTGCCATCTCATGTTAAGCTTCATCCTGGGCTAGGATCCTAATGTAACCAATAGGAACACTAGCCCAGGAAGCAATATCCAATCACTATGAAGAATCCCTGAGCGGGAACGCGTTTGTGATTGGCCTTTAATGGTTCAATTGCATTGGTTGATTATTGTATAGTAGGCGTGGCTATATTAGCCGGGAATGTTTAAATACAGAGCAGCTTCTATGCCAAAGCTGTCTCTGGCTGACTGATGTTGTACCGTGTTGGAAGTGAGTTCGAGTTGAAGAATAAAAGCCGCATTCTTGCTGAATCACTCTCCGACTCTTCGTTAAGTTCACGACTTAACAGATTCCCCACTCCTCCACTTGCAGCTGCTGGATGACTTTGGGCAAGCCATAGTTCTGACAAG